TAAGTTGGAGTGAGAAGTGGAGGAAGAAGTCTGGAGGAGAAAACTTCTCTGCCAGCTCCAGAGCCCACCTTGGCACCCTTGTGGGTGGCACTGCACTGCCCTGCAGGCCTCACCCGTGCCTTCACCTTTACTCCCCCACCGGCCCACCCCACCTCCCTCAGCCCAGCTGGAGAGCAGTGGCACGATCACAGCTCACTGCAACCTAGAACTCCCGGGTTCAAGGGATCCTCCTGCCTCAGCCTCCAGAGTAGCTGGGACTATAGGCGCATGGCACCATGTCTGGCTAATTCGTTTTAACTCCTTGTAGAGACAGAGTCTCCCTGTGTTACCCAGGCTGGTCTGAACTCCTGGCCTCAAGTGATCCTCCTGCCTTGGCCTCCCAAAGCGGTGTGATTACAGGTGTGAGACACCTCGGCAGGCTCTGAAGCTTTATTTGCTAAATCTGGCAGGACTATTAGGGATGGGCCAGAAGGAGAGAGTTTCAATAGAGAAATGACTTGATCTGACTGTTTTAAAATGTAAGATGATTTTTGAATTAACTCATTCATCCAGTTGACTCTTGTTTATTGAACATGTAGTAGGCCAGACAGCGTGCTCTGGGCATTCAGCTGTAAGAAAAATGGACAGGATGTCTGCAGCATGGGCAAGCTTTACACCCTTTGACCTACACTCATTCATCCTGTTCTTTGGACACAGTTAAGTGTCCCAGGCTTCAGGAAACTTGTCCAACCTCCTAGCACGGTTGATGTGCACTCTGCACAACACCTAAGCTTCCCTGTTCTCTCTAACACCTTGTCTTCTTTGCTAAAGTGTGAGCTCTGTGAGCATAGGAATTAGATCTCTTTTACTCACAGCTGATTGCCCAGGGCCAGGGCACTGCCAGGCTTAATGAGTGTTGGGTCTTGACAGTCAGTTTTTCTAAACCTGGTCCTCTAGCATTCCTCCGGTAGTGTGAGCAGCCTGACATTCTTTCAATAAAATCTGTTAAGATCAGCTAGATTTGGTGTCTGCTGCTTGCCACAGGGAACCCTGATGATGCATCACCCGAAGCAGTTTATCAGAGTAGTGAGAGCAGAGGAGCAGACAGCGTGAAAAAGCTGGAGCTCCTTTCCCGTGCTCCCTTCCTGAGCTCCTGGAGCCGCAAAGGGCACAGCAGTACAGCACCGTCAGGCCCTCTCAGAGACCAATAGGCCCCAGGAACATACAGGCTGGGGCGTGGACATGGTCGAGTTTTGTCTTCCTAGCATTTTTTTCTCCTTTTTTTTGGCCTACAGGCCCTATCACTTTGGGGTGGGTACTGTCCAGTTGCCCACTCAGTAGCTATTTAACCCTTCTGCCTTGTAGCATGTGATTTATTCATGTGCTCAGTTAACAAGAGAGAGCGAAATGAAAGCATTTTTCCAGACGTTTAAAAAAAGAGAGAGAAAGGAGAGAAAACTTATGACTTATCCACTCGATGAAACATGGAAGAACCATTTAAAATGACATGTTCTGTTCACAGGATAAAGTGCTTGCAAAAAAGAAAACAATAATGAAATGACATTTGCAATTACTTAGGGATATGCTTATGATAGAATATTAAGTACAAAAAGCAAGACAAAAAATTTATATTCTTCTAAACAAGGCTCTGGGTTCCAAACATACATTTTTAAATACACCTGTACAATGAGAAAAAAATGGCAGGAAGGAAGCCAAGACCCCAGCGGCCGTTGTTGGTTGGGCAGTAGGGAATTCGGCGGTTCTTTTTTCCTTTGTCCGGTTTTCTGTATTTTCTGAGCTTCATTTAACCATACTAAAGGCTCTTGATACACGAAGTCTCCATGCTGCAAGGATTCCGAGATAATAAAAATAGCGTTGAGTTGGAATGTTTGAAATCTTTTTACTCCCAAGTTCAGCCTCCTTTGTGCAATTTGCATTTTCCCTGTGAAAGCCTCCGATTCTCTGCAGGACACCGCCCCCCTTCTTCCTGAAGCCCCCTGGGCCTCAGTTTCTTCATCCGGCCAATGGAGATGACCATAAGGAAGACCATAGTCGCAGGAGGAGCCTAGCGGGAGGCAGGCAGCGTTGCGGACCCAGCGGGGAGGCACTTCTCCACTAGCGGGCCATTGTGGTCTTAGAAACCTTGTAGGTGGCTTGGTGGCAGCCAAACATCGGGTGGCCGGTTAGCTCAGTTGGTTAGAGCGTGGTGCTAATAACGCCAAGGTCGCGGGTTCGATCCCCGTACGGGCCATGTGTGTTACTTTTTAAAATTCAAAACTTCATTTTGCGAGCGTTTCTTAAAAAACACGCCATTCAAGGACTCTAAGGGGCGTGCAGACAGCAGGGAGGCGCGGAATCTTGCCACACTCGGCCGGGAAGTTGTCCCAGGCGCCCCCTGGGGAGAGACGCGCGCGTGAGGACGGCCACCAGTCACCCCGAACGTCCGCGAAAGGGTCCGTTTTAGGAGGTCACTGGTTAGGCCTTCAAGATCTATCGTTTTAAAGGGAACTCCGGCCATCCAAACAGATGCAAATAACACACGCCCACACCCACGACGTTTCTCGAGGCTCGGGCTTGCCTGGAGGTGCTGCCCAATGAAGACAGTGTCACAGATGTCACCAAGTAGTATTCCGAGGCCCTCGCGGGGACCCCAGTGTTCTCGGAGTTCTTAGAGTTGCAAGTCCAGGTCTGGAATCGATTCATTCCGCAAACGTGTGTGGAGAGCCCAGTACGCGCGCGGCCGCGACGCAGCAGACGAGAAACGAGAGACACAAGTCCCAACCCACACGGAGCCCGTGACCGGCCAGGGAAGGACTGCCATGCTTTAGTGAGGCGCTCTGGTTGTGGAAGCATCTGGAATTTCTCTTGCTTTTTTTCTTTTTTCTTTTCAGAGAGATCTTAACCTTCACATTTCTTCCTCTTGGTGCTGCATTTTGCAGCTGGAGGGCAGTGGGTGAATTTCTCACCCGTGGTTCACGTCCTGGCTCGGTCTGGTGTGTTCAATTTAACAAAAGCCATTTTTCTAGGGTCAATGCCATTTTATATCGGGATCCAGCAGGAGCTCCAGCTGTTTTGGAAAAATCTACCGAGGAAACCTCTACTGTATTATTCGTTCTTTCCTCAAGTATGTGTTAAGCTCTGACCTAAGTAAGTATTACTAGCAGCTCAAAGTCCACAGACCACAGGCTTAAGCCCTTGATAAGTGCTCAGGGTGTAGTAAAAGTGCTCAATAAACGCCGGCTGATGGGACTGTTGTTATAAACGAAGTTAGAAGGAGAACCTGGGACTGCTGACACCTAAAATCAACACCTGCACACACAGTGAATGTCACACCTTGCAATATGTGTGTACCAGGCACCTTGTGAGATCTAGGGACACAGCATGGAAGAGTTGGTGGAGATTGCTGCCCTAGCACATACTTACCTGAACTTGAGGTTCAGAATAAGGCCACTGTGGCATTAAAATTATTTTTAGCAGAAGGCATTTGAGTTCCTAAAATCTCTTATCTGCTAAAAAGCAGAGTCTCCCAAAAGAACTCAATTGTCATAATCCCCTCCTGGGGAGCAACTAGGAAAGATTGACTCATCACTGGAGAGGAGAAGTTGGCATCACACCTACACAGACATTGTCACAAAACCATCGCATCTCCCATCTATTCATCTCTCCTAAAAGACTTTTTTCCCCCAAAGTGTCCTTCTGCCCCTCCCCTTTCCCTGTTAATATGGTATATAAGTCCCAAATTCTATCCACCTCATGGAGTCACATTTTTCTGTAAGCTTTCTTCGGTACATTAACAAAAATACATGGTTTAATTTTGTCTTTTTTCTTTTTAATCTGTCTTCTGTAAATTTAATTCAAAGTCTCCCAAACATGTAACCTAAGAGGGTAAAGTTTTTCCTTCCCAACAGGCTCAAAAAGCTGATAAAATGGGGTACCTGTTCTAGATGATAGGGGCAGTTCTTGGCCTAGGAGTCTGAAGGGACCTTTCTTTTTTCTTTTCTTTTCTTTTTTTCTTCAGAAAATCATCCAAATTTCAAAGAGGGGACCTTTCTGACATCTGAGGATGGGAGGATGAGAAGGGGTTTCTTTGAAAAGTTAAAAACCAAAAAGGACATGATTAAAGAATTGAAACAAATATCACAAACCCCACTCCTTGCCAGCCAACCCTTAGTGAGTCCACTAATGAATTAATACACAACAGGAAGCATGGCGAATACACTGTAAGTATTGATGATTATGATAATGATCTTTTGGAGGAAAAAAAGTGATCAGAAGGTCTTCCAGAACCTTCTCTGACACAAGCCTGGCCCCCAGCCTCCCCCTTGTTGGCATCATGGCACTCATCTTAGTGTGCTGCAAATGCCAGTTTCCTCCTTCTTGTCACCTAGACTGTATACCCCACAGGGCAGGCAATGGTGACTCACCCAACGAGTGCTTACCGAGTGTTTGTTGCCCTATTGCCCTCCTCAGGGGGAGAAGCTGAGACATGTGTCCATACCTACAGCTACAAGACAGGGTGGGAAGGACACACAGAGCCACCACAGTAACGAGAGGAGATTAGGTTGAAGAAGAAGAGGCATTGAAGCTGGATGCATAGGATTAAAAGGTGAGGAGGGTGGGTTCATTCATTCATTCATACATATTCACCCATCCATCATTCATTCCCTGGGCGTGTATTCTGGGGCAGGGCCTGTTCTGGGCACCGAATGAGCAATATATTAATATAATCTCTGCCCTCAAAGTGCACCCAGTCTGGATTGGTGGATAGAGATGGGGTGGGTCGATGTAGGAAAAATTGGGGGTTTGGGGGGCACCCTTGTTAAAAATGCGAACTTTGGGTCCCCTCTTGGATCTATAAATCAGAATGTGTGCAGGTGGGGCCCAGGAATCTGTGTATCCAGAAAGGATTCTCAGGTGATTCTCATGCATGGTGACTTTGAGAACATTTGGATAGTGTGATAAGTGTTAGGCCAGGGGTTCTGGACCCCAAAGACCTCGGCTGGGGAGATCCGGGATAGCTCCTGCAGGAGGTGGAAGCTGGAAGTTAAATACGTCCACCACAGGCAGTAAGAAAGTGAGGCCGGCTGGAGCTGGAGATGAACTCGGACCTCAAGGCTCAGCTCCGGGAGCTCAACATCACGGCGGCCAGGGAAATTGAAGTTGGTGGTGGTCGGAAAGCTATCATAATCTTTGTTCCTGTTCCTCAACTGAAATCTTTCCAGAAAATTCAAGTCCGGCTAGTACGTGAATTGGAGAAAAAGTTCAGTGGAAAGCATGTTGTCTTTATCGCCCAGAGGAGAATTCTGCCTAAACCAATTCGAAAAAGCCGTACAAAAAATAAGCAAAAGCGTCCCAGGAGCCGCTCCCTGACAGCCGTGCACGACGCAATCCTTGAGGACTTGGTCTTCCCAAGTGAAATTGTGGGCAAGAGAATCCGCGTGAAACTGGACGGCAGCCGGCTCATAAAGGTTCATTTGGACAAAGCACAGCAGAATAATGTGGAACACAAGGTTGAAACTTTTTCTGGCGTCTATAAGAAGCTCACGGGCAAGGATGTTAATTTTGAATTCCCAGAGTTTCAGTTGTAAACAAAAATGACTAAATAAACTATATTCACAGTCAAAAAAAAAAAAAAGAAAGTGAGGCCGGTCTGCTGGGCCGATTCAGGACTTGGCGAAGGGCGGGGCTCGCTCAGATCGCGCCGCCGAACCACCCGGCCAGGTACAGTTGCCTGCCGAGGTGTCTTGGCCTGCGGGGCACTCGTAGCCCGCCCCTTTCCCAGGTGACGCACTTTCCAGCCGCCGTCGCTCGGCGGCCCGGGTTCGAGTCCCCGTCTCGGCCGCCATGGCGGACGCGGAGCCGGAGGCTGAGGGCGGCAGCGAGGATGGCGGCGGCGGCCGGGCTCCTCCCGGCCAGAGCGACAGCGCCGCCCGCGTGGCCCCGCTGGGCCCCGAGCAGCTGCGGCGGGTCCTGGAGCAGGTGACGAAGGCGCAGCCGCCCGCCGAGCCGCTGCCTTTCGTGCTGCAGGACGCGGCGCGGCGGCTGCGGGACGCGGCCCAGCAGGCTGCCCTGCAGCGGGGCCCGGACGCCGAGCCCCCGCGCCCGCCGCGCCTGCTGCCGCCCCAGGTGAGGCGCCGGGAGGGACGTGGGGGAAACTGAGGCCCGGAAGGGGCTGAGACCTCGCGGCGGGGCAAGCTCGTCGGCCTTGGAGCTGCTCGGCCAGAGAGGCCAGCATCCGCCCGCGTTAAAACTCAGGGCGTCCCCTGGCTGAGTTCCTTAGGGACGGCAGTCAGCCCCCACCTGTCGCCGTCACAGCGTATCATCACCTCCAAGGCGCCTCGCTCTAGGAGCCTTTGCTCACGCTGGGCCCTCTGCCTGGGACGCCCTCGTGCCTTCTCTGCTTTCACAGCCCTGCGGGCTCCTCCGTGCTGCCTCTTCTTACAGGCCTTTGTCGGCTCATTCAGCCTTTATTGAGCGTTCTCCGTGTCCTGGATTCTGCCGTGAAGTGCAGGAGGTGCAGCCTTGAACACACTCGATGAACATACGGCAGGTTCTGGGAGTGACAAGCGCTGCGTTAGAGTGGGTGGTCCTGAGGGCTGACACTGGAGCTGAGACCTGAATGGATTAAAAGGAACCAACTTAGCTTTTCAGGTGGAAGGTACAGCAAGTACCAAGGCCCAGACATTTGTAACCCCAGTGCCCAGTACAGCTCCCGATACAAACTTAGTGAATGGAATACGTGAAAGCACTCTGTATACTACAAAATGTCCTTTCTCAGTGGGTTTATTTCCCGGGTAACAGAACTCTTGGCTGCTAAGGGAGTTGGAACTACAACGGTCTCCCAGAGGGTCCAGCATAGCACCTGAGGCTGGAGGTCCTACACGTCATCCGTAAAATCATAGCCCCTTCCAGTGATGGGGCTGTAAACGGCAAAGTTCTTCTCACTCCAAAATTGCTCAAAGAAGAGAGTTTCTTCCACTAGAAGAAATAACAGAGAATAGAACCAATACTCTTCTTTTGTTTGAGGTTTTTTTGACAGTGATTTTTGCAGCTGAGAGTTGTATCCAGTTGGTCATCAGGACCGGAGAGTTGTCTTCACTGAAGTTTGGGGAGATAAGTATGATTGTGCCCAAACACCATACTTCCTAGAGTTGCGACCTTGGGTAACATTTTTGGGCTTTGGTCCTTGTTTGCAGGAAGGATAGCTTTCTGGCTCATATTCTCTACAGAAAAACCAAATGACTCCCACATAGGTTGTTCACAGCAAGTCTGAGTCAGAAGACTGCACGCCACCACCCAGCGCAGCCACCGTCCCATGGCTGCCATTTGCAGAGCCCCTGCTCTGTGCCAGGCACTGGGGTGGGCTGCTTAATTCTCAGGAGCCACCCAAACGTGTTTTTGTATCAGCATTTTGCAGGTGGGAAACAAGTTCAGAGAGGTTGAGTGACTTTGCCCAAAGTCGCTTAGGTGTAGGGCTGCACTTCAGAGCCCATGTACTCTACACCTGGCTGACTGTGGCCACAGCTTTTTGGATTTGGAGTGGCAACTTAGGAAGTAGTCCAAAAATAAAACATTTTCCATAAAATGAAAGCAGACTTGAAGGTTAGGCAGCATGATAGACTTATGTAGCTAATATAATGGAGATGATATAAATTCTACATGCACTCGAAATAATGTACATTTTGTGGCCCATTCTGCTAATACTCTTTTAGCCCCACCTGTGTCATGGAGGCCCCAAAGGCAAACCGGAGTGTACTTTGCCCCTAAGGAGTTTATGAAATAACAGGAGGTAAAACATGACCTAGATAAGTTCCATCAAGGTCAAGAAGCTAGAGATATAGATAAAGAACAATGCATTCAGAGAAAGGGAGATTATTTCTGTCTGAGGGGGTCAGAAGCAACTTTGTTGAAGAGGTATTAATAATATCTGAACTAGATTTGGAAGAGTGGGTCTGAGTGGAAAATGCAGAAGAGGAGAGGCCGTGTTCCAGGGCTGGGGGTGGGGTGCATTTATACGACGCAGGAGGCTCACTGAGGAGGATAGAATGGATCAGAAGCACAGACCAAGTGGATACTCCTGTGGGTCAGATTGAGGCTCTGGCCTCTCCTCATCCTCTGTTCCCACTTCACAAATATTTCTGGTCCCATCCAGCATGCCGTGCCCTTTTTCATCATGCATCCATGCATTTGCACGTTTTTTCTTACGCTTAGAATGCCCCTTTTCTCCTGGCAAAAATTCTCAGCCTTCAAGGCACCCCTCAGATCTCCTCTTCTGGAAACGCTATCATCTCTGGGGTGTTCCTGTCTTTTGATTGCACCTGCTGTGCCATGATGTCATTGTTTTCCTGTCTGCCTCACCTGTCTGCATGCGTTCTTTAGGGAATCTTGTCTGTCTTCAGAACCACCAGGGGAGCTTTTGAAAGGACAGATCTCAGGACAGATCCGCCCCAGGATATCAGATTCAACAGGTCTGTGGGGACTGAGGCATGGCAGGGGAAACCACCCCCCATCTCAAGGGTGAGACTAGGGCTTGGCTAGTGTTTATGTATCCCATCCAGAGATACTTAATAAGAGTTTGCTGAATGAAATAAATACATAACAAAAATATAAGTATAATACCCACATAGTAAATCAGTTTAGATAGCAGATAAATAAATTATTAGACCAGCTTTGCCTCTGCGGTAATCCTAAAACAATAGGATTTGGGGTGTTGTGTGTATATGTGTGTGCATGTGTGTATTCATCTAATGGCATTATCTGGTACTATCCCAGGAGTTCAGAGAAATTCTAAGTGGTAGTGAAATGAAACAAGGTTCTTGAAGGATATGCAAAATCAATCTAATTGTCATTTGATTCACAAGTAGCCCGGGAATTGGGGACTCATGGGGCATTGGCACCAGCTCTGGACACTTCTTCATAAACCAAAATGTTGAATCATCTCTGCTATTCATAGTAGCGTATAACATGCATACAGACAAGAGCCATACTCCAGCTTGATTTCAGTGAGGGTTTTTATTCTGCCCCATGTGACATTTTTATTGACCCTCCACTAGTAGAGGGTTGAGTCTAAAGAGAGCCTGTTGGTGGTCCCAAATAAGTGGTTCTTAACTGAGGACAGTTTTGCCCCACAGGGCGCATTTGGAAATGTCTGGAGACATTTTTGATTGTCTTGGCTTGGGAATGGTACTGGCATCTAGTGGGTAGAGGCAGGGTTGCCGCTCAACATCTCTCATGCACAGGACAGCCACCACAACAAAGAACTAACTGAAAGAATTACTGGTCCGAAATGTCAGTTGTGCCGAGGTTTAGAAACCCTGCTCTGGACAATGAAGTTTGTCTGTTTTCTCCCTGGAGGAAAGTGCTCATTATTTCTGCTCTGTGAGGACAGGAGGCTTGTCTGTTTTGCTGCCTCCATCCTCTTCCTGAGCCTGTGACAGCTGTATCCCTGACACCTATACCAGAGTCTCTGGGACATGGTCAGTGCTCAATAAATGTCTGTGGCATGCCCTTGAAGGCAGCCCTTCCCTTTGCTAGGTGTTTTTGTGTTGCAGACAGTGCTGCCTTGAACCTGCTAGAACATACATCTTTGTGCCCATGTGAGTGTTTTTTGTGAAATTCAAGAAGTGGAACTGCTGGCTCAAAAAGAACATGTACTTAAAACCTTGTTAGATATTTTTGTAAAAAGTAGTTGAAGATGTGCAGCCCCATTCCCAGGTATGTGCCCCTGGAGCAACTCACACATGTACACACACACACACACACACACACACACACATACACACATCCATGAAGGTTCAGAGCAGACCGTAAGAGCAGAAGGTTGGAAACTACCTGTCCATGAGCAGGAGATGTACTCATGCTGCAGAGAAAATGAACCACTGAGAGCTACACACAGCAATATGGATAAATTTCACGAAGCAAAACTGAGTAAAAACCTGAGAAAGCCCAATCAAGTTACAGGAGATTATATCATTTATATAAAGTTTAAAAACATGTCAAAACAGAACTATATATTTTTAGTGATATCTACATATGCGGTATAAATGTTGAAATATAAAAATGATAAACAGCAAATTCGGGATGGGGTCAAGAAAAGGGCATGTAAGTTGGGAGAATATCAGAGGGCTTTACTGGAACTAGTCATGTTGCATGTCATAAGGTAGGTGGCAGAAACTTGGGCTACATTGTTCTTTATGGCTTTTTTGGTTTCCGGATTTTCATTTAAAACTTTTTTTAAAAAAATGAACCCACCTATTGAATTGAGTCCAATTGAGAGTACTAAGAACTCCAGGTAAAACACATGGGTAAAACTATAAAGAAGGATATTATCTGTGAATGGTTCATGAAATCAATTTAGTGGATTATAACTAGTATTTTTAAAAAGGTAATGTAGAACAGATACCATTAGAGGGCGTTTATTTAGGAATGGCATCAACTTTTTGCTTCATTTATATGTGCAGATATGTTCTGCACATGTGTACTAGGTCATGATGTAAAACGTATCACTGGTCTGTAGTCAGAAAGGTTTGAAAAACACCACTGTAAACAGTACAAACATGTCACATAGACTCTTATATGTAAGACATAATTTAGAAAAAAATTCGATAGTGGATTTACGATGAGAGCAAAATTATGGAAATGTTGATAAGCATAATGCTTCTTTTCTCTTTCTTGTTTTCCTCTTTCTATATTTAAGCAACTAGAAGCCATTTGTGTCAAGGTAACATCTGGAGAAACTAAAGGCCAGGAAAGGCCAATGCCCCTTCTGGCCACCATCCAGCCCAAAACAGCAAGACAGAGCCAGCCTCCCGGCACGAATTCCAGCCTGATGGGGCTCTGCATCGCCAGCCCTCAGCTGCTCAGGGTGCAGCCCCTCGTGAGAACCAGTCCCCAGCCATGCTTCCTGAGTGACTCGGCTCAGCCTCCTGCTCAGGTGTTTGTACAGAGACCACTGCCTGCCCTCCAACCAGTCCCTGCGAAGAGCATCCCAGCCCCCAAGCCCCCAAACGGACAGGGTTCCACGTTGGCCCCTTTGTCAGCCTCTGACCCGCCGGCAGTAACATCTGTTTCATCCAGTTCAGCTCATTTATTTATTTCCAACTCACATACAAAACATACTGAGAAACTAAAAAAATCTTTAAAAGTGAAAACACGTTCTGGACGGATATCTCGACCTCCCAAATATAAAGCTAAAGATTATAAATTCATAAAAACAGAGGATTTGGCTGATGGTCATCCGTCAGATTCTGACGATTATTCAGAACTGAGTGTGGAAGAAGATGAGGACCAGAGGGACAAGCAGGCGCTCTTTGACTTATCAAGCTGCTCTCTGAGGCCCAAAACTTTTAAGTGTCAGACTTGTGAAAAATCCTACATAGGAAAGGGGGGACTTGCGCGGCATTTTAAACTTAATCCAGGCCATGGCCAGCTGGAACCTGAGACGGTGCTGTCTGAGAAGGCCAACGGGAGCATGATCCCGGGGCGCCTGGAGGAAGGAACCGTTGGCCTGACTGCGCCAGAGCGGTCCCCACCACCTGTGGTACGGGGACCAGGAGCTGTCTCCTGCTGTGCCACAGGGACAGAGTCAGCATGGGGTAACTTGCAGGTAACATGTCTGTCATGTCTGTCTGCATACGGTGTCTTTGTTCCTGCCCCTGCCTGCCCATCGGCCTTAAATAAACCTTTATGGTGTCTTATGGGGGCTCAGGCGAAGGCTCAAGCAGTACCAGAGTCATCGTAGTGGGGGATCCTGGACCCCTGCATTGTTGGCACTGCTGCCAGACAGGGAGGAGATGCGCATCTTCTCTCTTTTGGCATGATTTGATGGGAATGCAGCCGTCAGGTCAATAAAACTCATCACAGTGCCCTCGTGGCTGACACATCACAGAGGGTGTTGGGAAAGGCCAGAATTGGGGATGGCAGTCCATGGGGCTGCTTCCCGGAGCATCAACAGTACCGAGCTGCTTAGCATGTCCTCTCCTGGTTTTGCCCCTTCTGAAACCTTTTTTTTAAAAGACAGGGTCTTTCTCTGTTGCCTGAGCTAGAGTACAGTGGTGTGATCATAGCTCACTGCAGCCTCGAAATCCCAAGCTCAAGTGATCCTCCTGCCTCAGCCTCCTGAGTAGCTGGGACTACAAGCACTTGCCACCATACCTGGCTAATTTTTTAAAAAAATTTTTGTAGAGACAGGGTCTTGATGCGTTGTTTAGGCTGGCCTCAAACTCCTGCCCTCAAGTAATCCTCTGGCCTCAGCATCCTGAGTAGCTGGGATAACTGGCGAAAGTCCTAATAAAACAAAGCAGATATGAGTTTGCATTATTACCACATCAAACTTTTTTATTGTAAAATACACAGCATAAAATTTATATCTTAACCATATTTAAGTGCATAATTCGGTGGTATTAAATGCATTCATAATGTGCCGCTATCACTACCACACTTCTCCAGAGCTCTTTTTACCTTGTAAAACTGAAACTCTGTCCCCATAAATACTAACGCCCCATTCTTCTTTTCCCCCAACCCCTGGCAACCACTGTTCTACTTTTTGTCTCTATGATTTTGACTACTTTAATTCCTCAAATAAGTGGAATCATAGAATATTTGTCTTTCTGCGACTGGCTTATTCACTTAGCACAATGTCCTTAGGGTTCATCCATGTCATAGCAAGTGTCAGAACTTCCTTCCTTTTTAAGGCTCAATAATATGCCATTGTGTGGGGCCGGGCGCGGTGGCTCACGCCTGTTATCCTAGCTCTCTGGGAGGCCGGGGCGGGCGGATTGTTTGAGCTCAGGAGTTCGAGACCAGCCTGAGCAAGAGCGAGACCCTGCCTCTACTAAA